CGGCTATTCAACCTGGGTTACGGTCCAAGAAGGAAACATTGGCTTTGGATGGATGTCGCGCCTAAGTCAGCAGGAAAAAGATGAATGGATAGCCAATCCGCATGGCTATACCGAGGGTGAATGGAGATACGTCATTCTCTCACCGGGGCATACGGTGTTTTTCCCCTCTGGCACGATCCACTTCGTCTTCAGGGTACAAGGAGTACAGACATTTGCCCTCGGCGGCCACGTCCTTCAATGGTCTGGCATTGAGCGGTGGCTTAAAGTGGTCATCGCTCAACTGAAAAACCCGGAGATTACTAACGAGGACATGGCATCGAGTGCGCCAAAGTACGTTCAAGTCGTCAAGCGACTTGTTGCAAACAGGATGAAAGCTGGCCGGGTGGAAGAGATGGGCGGTCGAGATGCAGTCGCCAGACTGTCCACCTTACTAAAGGTAAGGGGTCTACACATCACATTTGCGACATGCTGGCTAATGATCGTTAGGATTTCGACAGCGTTGCTGGGGCTCGCGTATAAAAATGAGCAAACCCCGAACACACCTGCGTCAACAGAAAGGTGTGTGCATAATCCCCTTTGGAATTTTCGTCGCTAACTATGAAGGGGACGCTCCAGATCTCGTTCATTCGATCCCTTGTTAGCCTCCTAGGCGTCTGCTGCCGACATGTGCCCCAAAAACGTTCCGCCTAAGTTTGAGCCAGGGTACCGGGCCGCTTCGGAACTGGGCAGGGTCTTCCGGACCATATATGGGCTTTGGGTGTGGTTATTCCTATGCCGCCTGCTGCCGTGTCCGGACGAGTGCACAAAATGGCAGATCTGGAAACTGCCTACCAGGCGGGTCCGGACGTTAACAAGGCTGTGGCTGTCAGGGTCAAGTGGTATCCACCGCCGCGGCGGCTGCTGCTGCTGGTGTTACGCGTCCCAACATGGCGCCCACTGCTAACGCTCCGGGCAGAAAAGTGTCAGCCGCGACAGTAATAAGCGCCCCTGCAGCATGAGGTGAATGGGGCCAACTCTCCATGCCCACTCTGTATGTAGATAGATCATCTCTTCTGGTATCAACAACGGTTGGACGCTTTGCGCAGAACAAGTTGCCAGAAAATCATGTAACCACAAGGGGGTCACTCCTTGACCGTTGTGCAACACAGCGCGCCGGATTTTTCCAGGCCTAGCTGGAGGTGGTCGTGGAAAGTGCCCCCTTTTAGCCTCCCTTAACTATCTACGGTAAGCACGCGCAGGGTCTTAGCCAGCAGGACCATCAACGTTGCCACATGACCTGGTCCTCTGCCTGCAGACTTGGGAAGGGCACTTCGGTGGCTGGGTCATTGGGTGGATCTCCGGGCACAGGGTTGCCGCGGCCATCTCGGCCGGGTCGCCCAATTCCTTCCTAATCATGGCGGTGCCAACACCGACCGCAGACCGACCGCAGCTATTAGGAAAGCTGACGCTGACCACAGCCAACAGGATCCCGAAGATCCGGTGCCCCTCGAGCTGAGGCTTATCGATGCAAATAATTGCCTTGCGGTCTACGGTTGGGAATACGAGAACCACACCGTGGCTCTCGAGATCATTGATGTGTCTTCGGAAAGGTGTTTACGCGACGCGCTGTCACAATCAAGGTCATGACGTGGAGAACGTATAGCGACCGCACTTTATGGGCCAGAGTCAATTGCTCCGGCGCGTCGCTAACAGGGAGGGGGATGGGACGAGCGGACGTGCTGCGGCGCTGCCCGCCGCCGGGCACCGCAAAGCCCCGGCATAAGACCTAAGGCATCAGTCAATCAAGAGCCGGGCCAGGCCCCGAGCAAAGATGAGGTGGAACCCCGCTTCGCCGCCGGGGCATTGATGAGGAGTTTCTGGTTGGCCAGCAGGGAGATGGCGGTGGTTCCGACTGAGGATCTTTGTCGGGGGGAGCGGGGCATGGCACGTGGTTCCAACGCACGGGGCACTCTCGTCGGATTTAGCCCATGGGACC